CCCAAGACAGGATCCGAGCCGACTGCGACGAGCTTTTTTCAGACGTTTTTGTTTCAAAAGCTGGCCCCTCTGGCGAACCCACTCAGGACGGTCCCGATCCCCCCGAGGGTCAGAATCCTCTGGGCGTGGCTGAGCCCAGAAGTGGCTCGGTCGATTTCGGGGATCTTTTCGAGTTCGGGGCCTTCGAGGATGAGGAGGAGGACCCGTGGGCGTCAGAATCTTGCTTTCAGCCAGCTTGCAACCAGAGTGCACGTGACCTAGGAGCGCCCGTTGAATCAGGCGAGTTCGAGCAGCAAGAAAGTTCTTCCTTAATTGGCGAAGTTCCGAGGGATGTTTCTGCGGCCCCCGTTGTCGAGCGTCCTGGGGGCTCGGGCGTCAGCACGGCTGGCGATCAGCTTGATCCGCCCTCGTCTGCCGATGCTGCTGCGCCCGCCCTTCCCTCTTTCGCCATCCCCCCTTCCACCTGGGCAGCCGTTGCGGCTCAAGCCTCTTGGCTTTCACACTCCTTTGAGGACGTCTGGAACCCCATCAGACGTTCCGCTTTCTCGGCTGGGCAGCGCCACATCCTGCCCATCAGCAGCTGTTTCGCCAGATGGGTGTCCACGGTCGAGGGCGCGATCGCGGCCCACCACGGAGGGACGGCACCAGTGCAGTCGAGGGCCAACGGCGTCCAGCTGGTCGTCGGCCCAGTCAGGGAGCCCGAGCGCGTCAGGTCTCAACCGCTACGCGATGGAGTGGCAGCCTGGTGGAGCAGAGGGCATACGATTCTCAAGCAGGCTTGCCGACATCGGCGGCGTAACAATGGCAACTTGCAAATGGGACATCTTTCACAAGCAGCTTTGGGTTTAGCGGATCAGCCACTGGATGGGGCAGGAGCTTGTTTCGCAGGCACGCTCGGGCTTAGCTGGTCTCAATTTATTGGAGCGCTTCGGAGTTTGCAGGTTCAGACCCTGGGCGAGCTAGTTTGGCTGGAAGAGGTGGCTTTCAAATCGGCGAGGAGGGCGCAGAACCGTGCAGCCTCGGCGTCACTTCGCGACTTCCAGAGTTGGATTTGCTCGGTTGACAGTTTAGGTGCAGTACACAAGTCGATCAAAGATCTGGCTCCAGAGTTGGACGAGTACCACATCGGAGATAAGAAGTTGGTGCACCCGCTGGAGATAGTAGACGGCACAATCTCTCGGTGGCATCAGTTGTGGACCTCCAAAGTGTCAGGTCACGACGACATAATGCGGGCGTGTGACTTGATTCGTGAACACGCTGCAGCTGGTACCCCTCTCCATCGAAGAGGTCAGGGGAGCCCTGGCTAAGATGAAGCCCCGCGCGGGGCAAGGGGTGGACAGGCTGTCGCCATTGGACTTCAGCCGTCTGCCCGATCAGGCCATAGGCGACCTTGTGGGGCTGTTCACGATGATCGAGCAGGGCCTTAGCTGGCCGTGACAGGTGCTGCGCGTGCGGGGGCGTCTGCTCGGCAAGAAGTCGGGCGGAGATCGATGCGTCGGGCTGCTCGGCATTCTGTGCAGAGTATGTTCGCTCGCACGGGAGCCGCTTGTGCGAGGCTGGGCCGACCAGCAAGACGATTATTGGGACGCTGCCCTCGCTGGGAACAGCGCCTTGAGGGAGGCGTTCGTGCGGGCGCTGGAAGACGAGGTGCAGACCTCCCTTCACCTGCCCCATGGGCAGGCCCTGCTGGACGTGGAGGCCTTCTACGACGGCATTGAATGGCCCATTCTGGCGGAATGCGCGATCAGAAGAGGGTATCCCCCAGTCGTGCTGTTTTTGGAGGTGCAGTTGTTCATGACACCTCGCCTATTGTCACAGCTGGACTCGTACTCGTTGCCATTTCAGGCCACGAAGTCGGTCATTCAAGGATCGCGCAGTGGCACTCGGTTTGCGAAATGTATCACAGCAGTGGTACGCGAGAAGTTGGCGATCGCTCACCCGTCGATGTCCCAGAGGATCTGGATCGACGACTTGCTGGAGCGCGCGTCGGGCAGTCGTGGACATGTTCGTGGTACTCTGGTGGAGGCGGTCACTACCACGGTGAAGGAGTTTCGGAGGCTCAAGCTGGGCATCGCGGCTAAGAGCGTGGTGGTGTGCTCCATCCACCAGGACGCGGTGCAGGTAGCGCGGAGGCTGCGGCGTCACGGCATCGAGGTTACCCCTGTGCTGCAGGCAGCCTACCTTGGGATCGATCTCGCTGGAGGTCGTCGCCACGGCAGGGACACCGCGCGCAAGCGCGTGAAGAAGTCGGGGGCCTCTCATCAACGGCTCCGACGTTTTGCAGCAGCTGCGAGACGGTGGACGACCACGAGCATGATCCAGCGGACGGGCCCTCAGGCCTCGGCCTCATACGGCCACCAGGTCTTGGGCTGCTTTGGGTCGGTTATGCCTAGTCACAGGCGACGGCTAGGAGCAGCAGCTGGGTCACACAAGCGGGGGCGCTGTTTGACCTCGTTGTTAGCTCTACGCCTGCCTGGAGCTGATCCAGGAGTGGTGCTGCCGAGGTTGTGCATCACGCAGTGGTTGGATTGTTGGCTGCGAGAGCCGCGGCTTCGTCAGTCTATTCGTTTGGCGTGGTCACGTACAGTGGATAGGCTACGCCTTGTCCCTGCTGGCCAACGGAGTCGCCACGTTCGCGGGCCCATGTCTTCAGCAGTGTTGTATTTGTTACAAGCTGGATGGAACTTGAAGTCTGCTACGGAGTGGCAGGTGCCGAGTGACGGGGGCAATATGGAGCATACCTGGGAGTTTTCCACAGATGCTTTTGTTGGCCTGGACCAGGCTCGGCCACTTTTGCAGGAGTTCGAGGACACATTGTACATGCAACTCTGGGAGGAGGCAGCTGGCTTGTTTTGCGGCGGCGGCCTAGAGCAGGGCGCTGATTGGCAGAGTTATCGTTCTTACATTGCTATGCTCCTCCACGCCAAGAAGGGGCGTCAGTTGTCGGAGCTGATGGTGACCATCGCCACGGGCGGCTACTGGACTCAGGAGCGCAAATGTGCGGCCAAC